AATATTGTATAAAATTTATAAATCAATCGAGTCTTCACAAAAACCATATCCTACTCGACTGCATATATATGTGTTAAAATATTATTTTGTTAATAACAACACATAGCGAGAGATAAAAATTAAAAAATATTAAAACAGAAATTAAACCAACAAACAAATGACACAAACAAATATTGATAGAGTGAAGGAAAATATGAACAGAGGATATCGTGAAAAAAATAAATAGCAAAAAGTGATCATGAGAATCGACTAATAAGTGATAATAGAATTATATATATGTATATATATATATATATATATATATATATATATATATATATATAATATAAAGTGATATACTACAGTGATGCAAATTAGAACAAAGTAAATCTACACAAAATCTATATTATTTAACCGTCTCCGTTGTTAAAAGATAAAAGCATAACTACATTGCATCGTTATATACCAATTGCAAATCAGAAATGGTTTCTTGTAAATTTATCTTTGTTTTTTGTTTGATACTTTTATAGTCTTGATAGGTAGAAGAAAAGTAATCGTATGACATACCTGTAAATCAGGTATGCTCTGCGCTTCTTGATAAAAACTGCATTCTGTCCTATTCGTGTTATTTTGATGAGCGCTTCCTGTCTGGTTATTGCCCTGATGGTGACTTGGACTTCCACCGTTCTGGGAACTAAAATATTCATAATTAATAATTGTAAGTGGAATTTTGTCTTAAATCTATCTGTCTAACTTTTTCTCTCTCTGTCTTCCTATCTCATTCTCTCTCTGTGTCTTTTTATCTCATTGTTTCTCTCTCACGTGATCGACTTTTTTTGGAAATTTGGCCCAAAAAATTTTGACCTTTTATTGAAAATGTTTGAATTTTTTTCAAAAAAAATCAGGTAACTTTTTTTTCAAAGCAATCGTACTGCTTTAACTACATAGCGGCCGCCGTCGTCGCCGTCTAACAGATAAACATTGGTACGGAACCCATAGAATGTAAACAAAATTTATATTTATTGTTAAAATCTCTATAAAATATCTGATAATTTGATGTGCATATGTCTAATGATCATTTTTGACCGCCAAAAGGCATTTTTTTTACTTTTTTTACTAGATCTCCGAAAACGCTAGACCCGCATTTATGAAAATTTGATCGGTTCTTCATCTTGTCAATACAAGTAAAATGTTTTTTTGAATTATTTAAATCGGACGCTCCGTTCTCTTAAAAACTGAGTTACCGTTTTCGGCACTTTTTGCCCCGTATCTTCGGAACAGCTACACCTGCCTTCGCCAAAAACTAATCAGCACGTCTCCTTATCATTACGAATCGAATGTTTTTTGAATGATCCAAATCGCTTCATTCGTGTTCCCCGAAATCGTCGACGAAAATTTGTATCCGCACATACATACACACACGTACACACACACACATAATCCATTTTTTTTAAGGTATGCCAAAATAAAAAAATTTCATTTTCGATTTTTTTTGCGATTACTATAACTTACCCTACGAGAAATTAATAATTTCAACTTTGCAATTCAGTTTATATAATTCTTATAAATATTAGACAATGTCCTTTATTTTAAATTCGATTGATTATATTTGTTTATTTACTTTTCGTGTAAACATATACGAGGTCTGTTCAAAAAGTACCGAATTTTCGTTTTTTTCAAAAAATATTTTTTATTCGTCTACATTAATGTGGTCCCCTTCAAAGTAGTCCCCCCCAGATATAATACACTTATGCCAGCGTTTTTCCAATTTTCGAAGCACCCTTGATATTCACTTTTTGATATGTCCTTGAGCACTCTCAGCGATTCGGCCTTTATTTCTTCAATCGAGGAAAACCGCCGTCCTTTCATGGGTCTCTTCAACTTTGGGAATAGGAAAAAGTCACACGGAGCCATATCTGGTGAATTTTTGCACTTTGCAACACTTTATTTCATTTTTTACGCAAAATTTAATACAAATTCTTTGACTTTTTCAATTCTTCCATTGTAAAAATCGCCGAGCTCAGAAAAACACGTCGAACCTTAGCGACTACCACAGACAAAGTAAACAGTGAATATAGCTGAAAATTCATCATACTTTAGGGGCATGTATACCAACACAATAAAAAAAAATTTTGACAATCAGACACTCCAGACCGCGAAATTTAAAAATTCCGGGTACTTTTTGAACACACCTCGTATAAACGTCGTCGTCCAATTTATAAGCTCATATATTTATCTATAAAATACGAATAATAACAGTTTCAGTATTTATAATAATCTATTTGAAAACATTTAGTATTCCTCAAATATTTCATTACGGTACGGAAAGTTCCAGCAATTTGCCTCAAGGCACCATGTCATACACCACTAGTTTCTATTACTATCACTCTAACAATAAGGGAAATTAAAAATATTTATTATCTTACTTGATATTCCGGATGTAGGAAACCGAAAACTGAATTTCTTCCTGGCCGAAGTATGAGGACTCGCTTGTTGTCTGGACGAGTGCGATAAACCATCTACAGTTCCATTGTAACTTTCCAGATCGGTCATAGATCTATCAAATAAAATAACAAAACATTAATTATACACATGGAATAATTATATTTCATTTGAGTTTAATACCTTGCTGATATTTCATTCGCCATTGCAATGGCACAGTCCAAAGCTCGTTCGTCAGATGCAGAAATAGGTTTTACGCTCACTTGCTTTTTCTTGCCGGTACTGGCTGTCCTGCTTAACCTGATAAAATAAAATATATTATATCTTATATATAAAATTCTTCTGTAACAATGTAAGTTTCATAATCCCTCCTAAACTATAATTCGGATTTTCATGAATCTTCCTGAAGTTTGTTCGGGAAATTTTCTAGAATGTTTTGATTCATAGAAATATAGTTAGATTGTAGAAATAAATGGAAAAAATTACAAAAAACCGCTTATCATTGTTTGCCCTTGAAAATATTTGAAGCTTAGTTTGACATTAAAAACAATTGAAGACTGTCATTTGCCAAACATTTCTGTTCACTTATAGGCTAAGGCAATATTAAAATATAATAAATCATGATTATGATTAAGGAAAATGTAATGTCTACATTATTAATGCCGAAAAGCAGCTGAGATGTGCCAAATATTAAATTAATATAAGATGCAAATAATATAACATATGCGTTTGACAGTATGCGCATGCGTCTGACGCGCACCGCGAATCGTGTTCTCAACGTTACACGTGCTTTTGCTTGCAATAATTTTGTTTGCGCACTTTGCGAACAGATTCGCCGCACGAATTCGTGCGAAGGAGACTCAAAATATTCAATTTGCAGTCGTTTTGCCTCACTATACTAAGTCACAATACAAAAAAATTATTTAGAAGTTTCATTGTGTCAAAAATTCATATTATTGTCATTGGGTACGGAATATTTACTCAATGGAGCGCTTTCGGTCTGAACTTTTTTTACTGTTTTCCATTTCGTTTGGAATTTTGGAACTAGGTTCATCTTGCTCTTCAGAAGTGAAAACAATTTAGACTCCTTTAACCACTTCCCGGGTGGATGAGATTTCTTTTCAGTGGTGTAATTTTACTTTTTCAAAAATACGTTTGGTATCGATAAAAGAACTAATTATAAGAAAAAAATGTTTAATAATGTTTTTAAAAAAGCAAATACTTTTCAAGTTACTGGCTACTGAAAATTTGTTTCTTTTTTGCGTTTTTCATCATTTTTTGCTAATATCTTCAAAAATATACATTTTAACGAAAATCATGTAATGAACAAAATTATATCAATTAAAATCTTAATAAATCGCTATTTTATAGTGTTTTAGGAACATTATTAGGCTAGATATGAAAATGGTTTTTATAGTGCTCAAAATAAGCTTCAAAATGAGTACTTCTGCGAGTAAAATGAGTAAACTATCATGCAAATAAAAGACGCATATAATGGTTTTCATTTAAATAAAATAGTTTTTCAGTGTCATTTCCACCAAATTTAAAAATAATCGTATTCCATCTAGAATTAACTTGGTTTAAGAGATCTTGATGGATTCTAGAAAATACCACAACTTTAGTACAAACGATTTTAAAAAAAACTCATGATTTCATAAAAAAAACATTAAAAAAAAACATCCAATTTCTCATTATAATATCTCTGAAAGAATACGTATAAAAGTATATATATATGAAAATTCGAGGTATTTTTCTGACTAATTATTGTTGTTTATTATTTTTCCATTATACAAATATTGATAGAGGTATAATTAAGGAGTGCGCGGCTGTCCAACTAGAAGTCTTTCGAGCCCTTTAACCCTTCGCCGTTTCACAATAAGAGAAGTTACGGTAAAATTTATGATAAAAAAAGTTGTAGCTCATTTAATCACCTTTAAAATAGTGTATTGCAAGTTCTGATAAAATCAGAATTAAAAGAGTAATAATCCAATTAATGCGTTGGATGGTGACGGAGTGCAAATTGTTTTCACTTCTGAACTTAAGATAAAGATTAGCCTATTTCCAAAATATCAAGTAAATTGGAGCACATTAAAAAAATTCACAGAGCACGAATATTAAAAAATGTTCAATAAAATTGTATATTAAAAATTATACACTGCGATTTATAGAACAAAATTTCCAATAGCTCAATTTATTTTATTGCATTTAAGGGTTATATAGTATTTTTAGTCATACCTGTAGATGTGGATGTATAAATGAATGATTTTTTGTTTATTCACGACTAAAACATCGATTTTCCAAATTTATCACACTAAAAATGATCGTCTGCCTTTGTGATTTATGTCACAGCTTAAGATACACGTGTTGAAAATTGAATCTTTTAAAAAGTACAACAAATTCAGAAAGAATTACTATATAGCATTCGCGGCAAAGGTGCAATACCACCTTTTATTTTTCTACCCAAAATAATTGCTTCAATAATGTTGCCTATAATTTTTATAATATTGTACCATATTTTAACTGGCTTTTAGTAATTTTAATATCTAAATCACATTTTTTTCACTAATAAATCAATATACATTATTGCTTAAGTTTATATTTGAAGTGAATTAATTTGTCAAATCCTGTTCACATGTGCTCTATTCAACTCACGATCAACAAAGTTATGCTTTATAGTATATGCCGCATATATTCTATAAATCGCAGTGTATAATTTTTAATATACAATTTTATTGAACATTTTTTAATATTTGTTAATGAATAATTAAAGTGTTAACTGTGGGAATTGAGAAGAATCATTTTATTTGAAACAGTTCTACATTCAACATCACTCATATATTGGTGTAAATAGTAATTAAAAAAACAGTAATTATTATTTTTAACTAAGCAGTAAATATTAGTATAAAATATTGTAAAATTGTAGACGTGGGTACAGAACAACGTCTGTCGGGTCAGCTAGTCTTATATATAAAATTCTTCGGTAACAATGTAAGTTTCATTAATCTTCCTAAACTATAATTCGGATTTTCATGAATCTTCCTGAAGTTTGTTCGGGAAATTTTCTAGAACGTTTTGATTCATAGAAATATAGTTAGATTGTAGAATAAATAGAAAAAATTACAAAAAACCGCTTATCATTGTTTGCCCTTGAAAATATTTGAAGCTTAGTTTGACATTAAAACAATTGAAGACTGTCATTTGCCAAACATTTCTATTTATTTCACTTATAGGCTAAGGCAATATTAAAATATAATAAATTCATGATTATGAATAAGGAAAATGTAATGTCTACATTATTAATGCCGAAAAGCAGCTGAGATGTGCCAAAAATTAAATTAATATAAGATGCAAATAATATAACATGAGTCTGACAGTCTGCGCATGCGACTGACGCGCACGGCGAATCGTGTTCTCAACGTGCGCGTGGTATGCTTTTGCTTGCAATAATATTGTGTACGCACTTTGCGAACAATTTCGCCGTACGAATTCGTGCAAATATTCAATTTGCAGTCGTTTTGCCTTACTATACTAAGTCACAATACAAAAAAAATTATTTACAAGTTTCATTGTGTCAAAAATTCATATGTTTGTCATTGGATACGGAATATTTACATATGGAGCGCTTTCGGTCTGAACTTTTTTTACTGTTTTCCATTTTGTTTGGAATTTTGGAACTAGGTTCATCTTACTCTTCAGAAGTGAAAACAATTTATTAAGTAATTTTTTTTTTCAAAATAACGTTGGGTATCGATAAAAGAACTAATTATAAGAGAAAAATGTTTAATAATGTTTTTCAGAAAGTAAATACTTTTCAAGTTACTGGCTACTGAAAATTTGTTTCTTTTTTGCGTTTTTCATCATTTTTTGCTAATATCTTCAAAAATATACATTTTAACGAAAATCATGTAATGTACAAAATTATATCAATTAAAATCTTAATAAATCGCTATTTTATAGTGTTTTAGGAACATTATTAGGCTAGATATGAAAATGGGTTTTTATAGTGCTCAAAATAAGCTTTAAAATGAGTACTTCTGCGTGTAAAATGAGTAAACTATCATGCAAATAAAAGACGCATATAATGTTTTTTCATTTAAATCAAATAGTTTTTCAGTGCCATTTCCACCAAATTTAAAAATAATCGTATTCCATTTAGAATTAACTTGGTTAAAGAGATCTTGATGGATTCTAAAAAATACCACAACTTTAGTACAAACGATTTTCAAAAAACTCATGATTTCATGAAAAAAAAATTAAAAAAAACATCCAATTTCTCATTATAATAATTCTGAAAGAATACGTATAAAGTATATATATATATATATATATATATATATATATATATATATATATATATGAAAATTCGAGGTATTTTTCTGACTTATTATTGTTGTTTATTTTTTTTCCATTACACAAATATTGATAGAGGTATTAATTAAGGATGCGCGGCTGTCCAACCAGAAGTCTTTCGAGCCTTTTAACCCTTCGCCGTTTCACAATAAGAGAAGTTACGGTAAAATTTATGATATAGAAAGTTGTAGCTCTTTAATCACCTTTAAAATAGTGTATTACAAGTTCTGATAAAATCAGAATTAAAAGAGTAATAATCCATTTAATGCGGTGGATGGTGACGGAGTGCAAATTGTTTTCACTTTTGAACTTAAGATAAAGATTAGCCTATTTCCAAAATATCAAGTAAATTGGAGCACAGTAGAAAAATTCACAGAGCAATAATTTTGTTGATCGTAAGTTGAATAGAGCACATGTGAACAGGATTTGACAAATTAATTCACTTCAAATATAAACTTAAGCAATAATGAATATTGATTTATGGGAGAAAAAAATGTAATTTAGATATTAAAATCACTAAAAGCCAGTTCAAATATGGTACGAAATTATAAAAATTATAGGCAGCATTATTGAAGCAATTATTTTGGGTAGCAAAATAAAAGGTGATATTGCACCTTTGTCGCGAATGCTATATATTAATTCTTTCTGAATTTGTTGTACTTTTTGAAAGATTTCAATTTTCAACACGTGTATCTTATGCTATGACCATAAATCACAAAGGCAGTCGATCATTTTTAGTGTGATAAATTTGGAAAATCAATGTTTTAGTCGTGAATAAACAAAAAAATCATTCATTTATACATCCACATCTACAGGTATGACTAAAAATACTATATAACCCTTAAATGCAATAAAATAAATTGAGCTATTGGAAATAAATTTGTTCTATAAATCGCAGTGTATAATTTTTAATATACAATTTTATTGAACATTTTTTAATATTTGTTAAATAAATAATTAAAGTGTTAACTGTGGAAATTGAGAACAATCATTTTATTTGAAACAGTTCTACATTCAACATCACTTATATATTGGTGTAAATAGTAATTCAAAAAACAGTAATTATTATTTTTAACTAAGCAGTAAATATTAGTATAAAATATTGAAAAATTGTAGACGTAGGTACAGAACAACGTCTGTCGGGTCAGCTAGTATATATATATATATATATATATATATATACTAGAACACCCGACAGACGTTATCCTGCACCCACATCTACGTTTTTTCAATATCCTATACTAATATTTACCGCTCAGTTGAAAATAATAATTATTGTTTTTCGAATTACTATTTACACCAATATACAAGTGATGTCAAATGTAGAACTGCTTCAAATAAAATGATTATTCTCAATTCCCACAGTTAACACTTCAATTATCCATTTAACAAATATTAAAATATATTCAATAAAATTGTATATTAAAACTTATACACTGCAATTAATAGAACAAATTTATTTCCAATAGCTCAATTTATTTTAATGCCAAGGGTTATACACTTTTTCAATCATACCTGTAGATGTGGATGTATAAATGAATGATTTTTTGTTTATTCACGACTAAAACATTGATTTTCCAAATTTATCACACAAAAAATCATCGTCTGCCTTTGTGATTTATAGTAAAAGATACACGTGTTGAAAATTGAAGTCCTTTAAAAGGTATAACAAATTCAGAAAGAATTAATATATAGCATTTGCGGTAAAGGTACAATATCACCTTGGAATTTTCTACCCAAAATAATTGCTTCAAAATATTGCCTATAATTTTATATATTCGTACCATATTTTAACTGGCTTTTAGTAAGTTTAATATCTAAATTACATTTTTCTCACTAATAATTCAATATACATCATTACTTAAGTTTATATTTGAAGTGAATTAATTTGTCAAATCTTGTTCACATGTGCTTTATTCAACCTACGATCAACAAAATTTTTTGCAGTAAATGGAGAGGAAAAAGCGTGTGGGAAATAGGCTAATCTTTATTTTAAATTCAGAAGTGAAAACAATTTGCACTCCTTCACCACCCTGGCATTAATTGGATTATAACTCTTTTAATTCTGATTTTATCAGAACTTGTAACTTACTATTTTAAATGTAATTAAATGATCTACAACTTTCTCTATCATAAATTTTACAGTAACTTCTCTTATTTTACCGTAACTTCTCTGTCCATATTTGTGTAACAGAAAAAAATAAAAAGCAATAATTAGTCAGAAAAAGACCTTTAATTTTCATCTATATACCTTTATACGTATCTTTTAGTTTTTTAAATAGATTCTTTTCATGAAATCATGAGCTTTTTGGAAATCGCTTGCACTAAAGTTGTGGTATTTTCTAGAATCTGTCAAGATCTCCTAAACCAAATTGATTCTAGAGAGAATACGATTATTTTTAATTTTGGTGGAAATGGCACTCAAAAACTATTTGCTTCAAATGAAAAAAATATCATATGCGTCTTTTATCTGCTTGCTAGCTCACTCATTACTCATTTTAAAGCTTATTTTGAGTACAATAAAACCTCATTATCATATCTAGCCTAATATTGTTCCTAGAACAATTTATAGAACACCGATTTATTAGGATTTTAATTGATATAATTTTGTTCATTACATGATTTTCGTTAAAATGTATATTTTTAGCAATATTTGCAAAAAACGATGAAAAACGCAAAAAACAACAAATTTTCAGTAGCCAGTAACTTGAAAAGTATTTGCTTTTTTGAAAAACATTATTAAACATTTTTTTCTTCTAGATAGTTCTTTTATCGATATCCGATGTTATTTTGAAAAAGATACAATTGCACCACTGAAAAGGGATGTCATCCGCCCGGGAAGTGGCAAAAGAGTTTAAATTATTTTCACTTTTAAACTTGAGAGTAAAATGAACCTAATTCCAAAATTTTATGCAAATTGGAGCACATTAAAAATATTCAGGCCAAAAATGCTCCATTGTCTTGGGTAAATATTTCGTATCCAATGCCAAACATATGAATTTTTGACACAATGAAACTTCTAAATAATTGTTTGAATAAGTAAATTATTTTTGTATCGTGATTTAGTAAAGTAAGGCAAAACACGACTGCATTTAAAGTTAAAAAATAATAATCTGTCAAAGTGAATTATAGGCTAAGTTTGATGTGCGATCACTGACAGACGCATGCGCAGACTGCATTACCTATCAGATGTTGATTGTAAATCTTATATTATTCTAATTTTTGGCACATCTCAGCTGCTTTTCGGCAATAATAATGCAGACATTACATTTTCTTTATTCACAATTCATGAATTTATTATATTTTAATATTGCCTTAGCCTATAAGTGAATAGAAATGTTTGGCAAATGACAGTTGTCATTTGTTTTTAATGTCAAACCATGCCTTAAATATTTTCAAGGTCAAACAATGATAAACGGTATTTTGTAATTTTTTCCATTTATTTCTACAATCTAACTATATTTCTATGAATCAAAAATTCTATAAAATTTCCCGAACAAACTTCAGGAAGATTCATGAAAATCCGAATTATAGTTTAGGAGGATTAATCATTCATACGTTGTTACAGAAGATCTTTATATATAAGATATAGACAGATAATATTTAAATTAATTATAATAATGCTAATGCTACAATTATTACCTGTTAGATAATTCCATTATCTCGTTTCTTTGATTGACGCCATCGTGATCGACTGCCGGTGAAGGCGGTGCTTTGGGACTTCCAAGACTTCGAAACATGCTTTCCATTTCGTCCAACAGGCTTGGGCCGAGATCGAACGACTTCTGGTAAATAATAGAAACAATAGATTGTAAATAAATTAATTAAAAAATATGGTTGTGGTTGTAGTTACCTCAAATCTTGGACTATCAGAGACTACGTTCTCGTCATCCGATATTTCGTGGTACTCATGAGGTTCTGCATTGTTGTCTGCAAAATCATTCTCGTCCTTCGACCATTTGACTTTCCTGCCGTTGGAATCGCTGAAGTCCTTCCTCAAATCCAGATTTAAATTTAGATTTAAATTGGGAACTAGAAATAGATAATAGGGCTTGGTGTAAGTGACATTTTGTCTTAATAGTCGAGTCAATAAAGAAAAAGGAAATCCGATTTTGTTATTTTTTTTTTAATATTGGTTTTTTAAAGAGAAATAATTTTTTTGTTTAAATAAAATTTTTGTTATTTATATAAATAAACTAGCAAACCCGACGAATTTCGTTTCGTCACCAGATGGTTTCGTGAGAAAGATGAAGAAATTTTTTGTTTGTTTTAAATTTGAAAAGGAAAAATTTAATTTTATTATACAACAGTAATGAATTTATTTCGATTACAAAATGAAGTATTTTTTAGTTGAACGTTTCTAAGTAAATGAAAGTGAATCCGCAAATTATCCGTTTCATTGAAGTGCTCTTTGGTAAACCACATTTTTTGTTTTTTGGTGTGACGTTAACACAAACAAAGCGGATGGTTTTCCAACTCGTGAACAGGCAACGTATAACTGCCCATGCAAAAAACAATGATTTTCTAAATAATCTATTTGAAATTTATCCCGCAAACACTAAGCGATTAGTCTTGAGACTTGTTATTGCGAACGCTTGGAAATTGCAATCGTTTGAAGTCAAACGGAAAACCAGTCGGAATCATTGGTATGTCACCAAATCGCCAGTTATTTTTGATTGAATGGTAAAATTCAGTGCGTGTCATTATTCTTTGCGGCAAGAATTGCTCGTTGACTTAACCAAGCATAATTCTGATAATTCTCACTAATGTCATTACTCGAATTTTTAATTACGCTGCGTGAAGTTCCAGCAATTTGCAGTAAGGCACGATGCCATGCACCACTAATTTTCTTGGCTATAAACCTTGCTGAGCCCGAGACCTTTCCAACGAATGCAAAATTGCCGAAATCGGTTCGTGCGTTCTGGAAGAAAAACCCGATTTATTTTTATATATATAGAAGATAAATTTTCAAAGGTTTTTAACTTACCGTAGGGCAAGTTATAGTAATCGCAAAAAAAATCGAAAATAAATGTTTTTATATATTTTACGTTTCAAAACCTTCTGAACATTTTGGCATTCCTTAGAAAACTAGTTGGTTTGATATTTTGCCTTGAGGCAAGTTACATGAACTTCCCGAAATGTGTAAATAATCGACTTAATTGATGATAGATAAATTAATTTATGAGTGACTAGACGTATTCCGAGAGGATTTATTACACATAATTGAAAACTTTTCGTCCACATTTAAGCTATCGATTTTAAAAAATCAAAAACTGTTCGAAAGATATTAGTTGGGAATGATACTGATTAGTTTTAGGTGAAAATCTACCGAGCCGTTTTCTTGTAATTAACTGTTGAAAAAAAAATCAAGCAGATTTTTATGGAACTTTTTTTGGCGATATATATATCATGGTCTTATAGAACTTACTGAAATATTACGGCCTTACGACAAATAGATTGATTTTAAAAATTCATCAAAGTTTGAGAAAATGAGTAGTTCTTTTGACATTTGTTAAAATTAAAATTAGACGATTTACTTGGTATAATGATAGATTGCTTATTCTTGAACATAATAAACCATTAAAGTCCTGGAAACTGGTTCAATTATAAAAAATATTGATTTCTGAAAATTTACTTTTAGAAAATACTCCGAGTTAATCTGTTTGTTTGTTTTCAATTATGTGTAATAAATCCACTCGGAATACTTTTAATTACTCTTAAATTAATTTAGTTTTTATTGATTAAGTCGATTATTTACTCATATCGGGAAGTTCATGTAACTTGCCTCAAGGCTAAATACCAAACCAACTAGTAAATTTATATATTTACAGCATCAGAAGAGAATTCAAAGTGTTAAGAGGGCTAATTTAATAACTTTTAATTGTCGATAACTTCATAAATTTGACTAATGAATTCGCTACAAAGTAAAATAAAAACGGGACATGTGCTGAATTTGCCGACTTGAATGATTGCGCAATTAAAATAATCGAAAAGTGCTCATGCCTACTCGCTTGCACCAGTCTGCCAAGTTGCGCAATAAACACGCCACAGACGTTACAGAATACAGTAGGCCCTCGCTTTACACGGCACTCTGGGTACACGGTTCCCATACTACACGGAGCTAAAAATCCGACATCCCTCCGACTACACGGACTTCTTATTACACGGTATTTGGTCAACAGCCCATAAGTTCGTTGTGCAAAAGGGTATTGATGTAAATTTTGTTATCGACTGTTATCTTTTAGACATGCCTGATTATATAATAGCTGTCTAAGAACACGTTTGAGCTGACTACTGTGTCGCGCCAATTTTTGAATAAGGTGTCAATGTCCTAAATGTCATTTCGTCCGTATTTCTCCTACTTCAAGTTGTATTTCTTGGTCTCCATACAACGCGATAAAAATGGTGCGATTTGTACCAACTCTGAGTCTCTCATAACACGGTTCCCATACTGCGCTATGTAAGGTTCCATAGAACGCACTACGAATTAGCCTGAATTGTATGTTAAATACGAATTTCTTATAGCACGGTTCCTATACTGCACGGTACGCACTTGCCGCGTAAAGCGAGGGTTAACTGTACATGTGCAAGTCGCAGGTTGCGCAAGTATACAGTTACGTCTGTGGCCGGCTTTAGTCACCAAAATAAAACATTTGACAATACTTTTTCATCGGCTCACTAGCGCCAAATTGGCGACTACAAGATGTCCCCTAACTAAGAATCCTTCTGATCGCGTCTTTATCAAAAGATACTCTATGCTCGAAATGTCAACTTGAATTCGGATTTCGGAACGACCATAACCGTGTAATGTAAAGTGTTAATGTAAAATAATAAACAGCTGGAAGATTTTCTACGACAAGTGCAAGTATATTTAGATTCATTATAATATTTGAGATATTTGAAAAGGATACCATACGCAGTGAAAATGTCTGAAGAAACAATTATGAATGATCAGAAAATTAAAATTGAGCCACTAGAACTTTCAATAGAAGACATAAAACTTGAAAATGAATGTAATGGAAATCTTGCAGGTATTGTTAAGTCTGATTCATGCTTAGAAGATGATGAAACTTGCCTGGAAAGATTTATGAATTCCGAAATAACTATTGAAGAAGAACTCAAACAGGAGGTAAATGAGTCAGCCGATTGTAAATATGAAATTGATAATAGATCATTTTCAGAATCTAATTATTCGAAAGAGCACATGGTTGATGATGATCAGAAAATTAAAATTGAGCCACTTTCAACAGAAGACATAAAATTTGAAAACGAATGTGTTGATCTTGAAGGTATTGTTAAGTCTGAATCATGTTTAGAAAATGATGAAACTTGCCTGGAAAGATTTACGAATTCCGAAATAACTATTGAAGAAGACATCAAACAGGAGGTAATTGAGACACCCGGTTGTGAATATGACATTTCTAATAGATCATTTTCAGAATATAATTATTTGAAAGAGTACATGGTTGACCACATACCTAGAAATGGCAAAAATGGAAACAATAAATGCAATGTATGTGATAAGACATTTAAGATTTCATCAAGATTGAAACGGCACATGATTACTCATAGCACAGAACGCCCTATCGAATGCAAAATCTGTCATAAGACATTGAAAGAAAATAGCATTTTGAAAAGACATATGCTCATTCATACAGTAGAACGGCCTTTCAAATGCATAATATGCAATCAGACATTCATAGAAAACGGTAGTATGAAATTACACATGCTTATTCATACAGGAGAACGCCCGTTCAAATGCAAAATCTGTCATAAGACATTCAGACGAAAAGGTAATTTGAAATCACATATGCTTTTTCATACAGGTGAACGCCCTTACAAGTGTAAAATATGCAGTAAAACATATGCACAATCGGGTGACTTGAATAGGCACATGCGTATTCACACAGGGGAACGCCCTTTCAAATGTGATACATGCAATAAGGAATTTGCACTATCGAACAGCTTGAAGAGACACAAAGTGAATGTTCATAATAGAAAACATGATGATGATCAATGAAATATTAACAAGCAGAAAGCAGAAATATCTATGAATTACTTATATTTTATTTGCATTGTAAATTTAATTACTGCTGTACAAATATTTAGTACTATAAATAAATTTATTTAAATATATTTGTTTTTATATTATAAGATTCACAGATATTGTTACAAATTTTATTAAAATGCATATTTCTTATTAAACTGTACTCAGTCGTAATATTTCAAACAAAATTAATTAAAAACAATTTTTGATCCATTAATGCCAAATTATACTGATCAATTAATTAGTAGAATTAGTAGAATAGAGAAAAAAAAATTAAGCACAATCCTAAACAGATTTCAACTGGTGGATTCAAATTGCCGGAACTTCCCGTACCAAATCAAATTTTTGAAAATCCGAATTATTTTCATAAAGAAAAAAATTGATATATATATATATTTTCTTTTCCCAAAAACAATAATTTCTTCAACATAAGCAGAAATACACCCCACTAGTTTAATATTTATATTATAAACATTTCCTGTTTAAGTCAAAATATTTATATATATCAGAGCTGTTTCTACGAATTTTTTATCATCAATATTTTACCTTGAGATCTATTTCGTCCACTAACTCCATCAGTATTAGAACCAGATGCAGTCTCAGCATTTGCGAGACATCCTCCATCTGATGAAGCCAATAATGGTTGCTCGTCTAGATCTTCAGAAGGCTTATAAGGAGCCACTATTTGCCTAGGGACATTCGGAGACAGGCCATTATTGGAAAGAAGTGCTTCACCATTACCTGGAGTCGTGTTTGCATTGCCAATGGCACGAAGGAAAGCTATGTCTCCGAAATAGGCTCCGTCGAGACCAACATGACCTAAAAAAGATAGAGGACAATATATATATATATATATATATATATATATATATATATTTTGTATGATTCTGAATTTGATGTTGACATATGTATTAACAAAGTCTAATAATCGGGCATAACATCAATAAAAAACATGAATTTCTTTCAAAAATTTATTTTAAATCCATACGTTTCGGCTATAATCCTAGCCTTCATTCAGTGGAAACTAAAAATAAAATTAAAAACTAAAACAATTGAATTGGAGTGAAAAGAAAAAAATAAAATAGTAATTAGTACTTACAATTAGTTGATCTTAGTGTTAAATTGGAAAATTTTAATAATCCATGGTATTAGGATATGGTAATGCACTACACTATGTATTATAAACATTAACTTGAAATTACAACAATATTTTCACAAAATACTGATTTGAAAAAATCACAAATGGATAGTGTGTTATTCGTAGACTGGTTGAAGATGTAATGGAGAAAGACATTTTTAAAAAATATTTTTACCAAGATTCTGCACATGTGTGGAACAAATTGTAAATCCTTTGCGCGAACGCTTTTATTGTTTTGTAAGAAATTTGGAAATGTTATCTAAATAGAAGAGATTTGTGTCGCACAGCGTGTTGAGTTCATTCCGTTTATTTATTGTCTTATTGTTATAAATAGTTAAAAAAGATCCCTCTATAATTCTTCGTTTAAATAAATTTTGTTCAAATTATATATATAATTATATATATAATTATATATATATATACTAGCTGACCCAGCAAACGCGTTGTCATAAAAAATATTTTTAGTATAAAATAACTAACTGATTGCAAATGTGGTGCATAACTGAAATGAGCAGCTAACAAACTAGTTGGTTTGGTATTTAGCCTTAAGGCAAGTTACATGAACTTCCCGATATGTGTAAATAATCAACTTAATCAATAATAAACAAATTAATTTATGAGTGATTAAAAGTATTCCGAGAGGATTTATTACACGTAATTGAAAACGAACGAACACTTTAACTCGGAGTATTTTCTAAAAGCAATTTTGCACAAATCAATAATTTTTATAATTGAACAAATTTTCGTAGGACGTTAATGGTTTAGTAGGTTCATTAAGACCAAGTAAATCATCTAATTTTAATTTTAACAAACGTCAACAAAATTACTCATTTTCTCGAACTTTGATGAATTTTTAAAATTAAACTACTTGTCATAAGGCCGTGATATTTCAGTAAGTTCTATAAGACCATGATATATATAACCAAAAAAAGTTCCACAAAAATCCATATGAATTTTTTTTTCAACAGTTAATTACAAGAAAACGGCTCGGTAGATTTTCACCTAAAACTAATCAGTATCATTCTCAACTAATATCTTTCGAACAGTTTCTGATTTTTTAAAATCGATTCGGTAGTTTGAGCTTAAATGTGGATGAAAAGTTTAACACTTTTTTTCAAATTACAAAGAAAAAGGCTCGGCAGATCGTCTCACAAAACTGACAAATTATAGTCCTCATCGAGATACATCGAATGGCTTTTAAATTTTTGAAATCGGTAAAGCCGTTTTCGAGAAAACGGCGATTCACGGCAAAAAATCTGTTCACATACACGCACACACACGCATACTTTTTCAAATTTGGTCTCATTCGATTCAGAATGGCTTGAAACGTCAAGAAAACATAAAATTAGCAATTCGGATTTTTTGATGAAAACATAAACTTCTCCTTCGGGAAGTTAAAAATATATGAATAGTTTACCCACTGCAAAGCACACTACATACAAATGCTTCTGGGTAATAAAAATAGTCTTTGCAAGTGACAACCTAATCTGAAACTGATTCTATTTAAATTGAGTTAAGTCTTTTTATTAAACTATGAATTTATTTACCTGTATGTTTAAGATCTCCTTGTGGCGAACTAATCATTTCAGTCCTCAATCTCCTTTTGCTGTTACGATCAACAGAAAATGAAGACCTGGAATGAAAATAAAATATGACATCACTTTTCTGAATACCATAATTGAGTGAAATTGACTTTTTTAAATTAACTAAATTAATTGACCAATTTAGGAAAACCTAATAGTTTCTTAAAATAATAATATAATGTCAAATTAAGCATTTAAATCCTTCAAAATAATATAATATTGTATCTATAACTATCATAATTATTTCACAAGGTTTCAAAAATAATAGTAAAAATAAAATATATTTAATATTGTCCTATTTCTACCTATGAAAAGCTCCATTATTATTATTCCTATTCCCAGTTTGAGGAGTCCGACTGATACCTCCTTGACCAGACCCACCGGTCACAGAAGACGCAAGATTTCCTGAATTCGGCAAAGGTCCAACATATGTAACAGTAGTCGCAGGGTCGAAAAGGCCTCCACGTCCACTGCTGTCCAGAACACCTCTCCATAACGGAGAATGAGTACTAAAATATAAAATACTCATAAAATATATAAAAATGGAGCTCTCTTTCAAATGTCCAAGTAAAACTCGAAAACGGCTAAACCGATTTGGCCAGTCTTAGTCTTGAAAAATTCGTGCTAATCAGTAGGTAGTCGGAAAGGTGAGATATTATTTCAAAATCGCATAGAAACTTTACATTTTTAATTTGAACATTTTTTGTAGAAGCGTATTTTAAATAAAACAATGGACAGTGGCTAATACGTAAAATGTCAAACGTTTTTGATGATGATGTTCAATTACGTTTAATAGGATGTTTTACGTGAATATTATTTAATTATGATTAAATTGTAGTAAGTAGTTTTGTTTGTGGTTTTATTTATGCACAAAAACGTTAGTAAATGGCCGCAAGTGTTACTAGAGACTCAAAATATAAACTTTTTTGATATGTTAATATGAAAATGCACTTTTTGGCATATTTTTCTCAAACACGGTGCTCTGAAAGATCTCATTTGTATAATTATATACTCATTGGTATTTATAAAACATTTTCTAGGTTATATTATTTTTTATTTATGTTATTTAAATTCAGAACCTAAATTTGGTATCGATCAAAGGAGCATTTTGTTGAGTCGCATTTTCCCAGTTATAATTTCCCAGAATTTATCGAAAAATAGATAGTAATATATGAAGGCCCGGGATTAAAAAGGTCAACGACCGATGTGCCAAAAAAGTAAAGTTAAGCATTGTTTAACAATAATATTTGAATATAGAGGGAAAAGGATGTATAACCAGCTATAAAATTGATTCTTATGACTTTGCTATCGAGAGATAAACGGTAATCTTTGAAAATCCATAATAAAAGTATTTTCTTCCGTTGGTAGTTTTTTAGCATTCGTTAAAAATGTAATTATTTTATAAAATACCTTTAAAATTAAAATAAGACATTAAACCTGTTTGCCTGCAGGCCGTTACAAGTTACTCCGCCTATAGGTTAAAAAAGTCTAGATAATAAATTTTTTAAAAACAGCAAAAAAGCACCTTTCTACAATGATGAAGTAGCTGACAGTTTTACTGAACGTAGTCAGAAAATTGTTCATTTGAAATATGTTATTTGTTGTAATATAATTGGTTTGATTTTTATAATATAATTAATATTTGCTCAAAGTCAAATTGGACCTTTGTGCCTGCTCTACATATATACTTTTTATTAAATTTACTTTAATTCATCAAATGTTACTTAAAACTTTTTAGAAAGCAGGTCAAAGAAGAAATACTTAATTCATTTTTTATGTATTCTCGCAGAAATTTAAAAATTTTGTATAAGCTCAGTAACATTATTTACAATTATACACAAAATCCAGAATCCAAAAAGAATCTGAAAAACTTGAAACGTAATCAATAAGTCGAAAGACCAAAAAAGACTTGGATGGATTATACTATGTTTTCTATAGAAAGTGTATAAAACTTCCAGTTTGATTGTATTGACAAAATATAGACACACTAATGGGGTTTATTGTTTTTATAATACCTCTTTGTATATATCATTCAAACAACACATCCTTATACACTTAAAGCATTAATATTTTTGATTCTTAGAAGTAGTTTAGAATATACCTTACTTAGCAAAACAACGTTTGCCGGGTCAGCTAGTATAAATATAAAAATGTTAATAATATATGTCTATTATCCCCTTACACTTTGTCCAAGACAGTGATAATATCCCCAGCCCGATACTGAAGTCTGTTCTGATTGCTCTTCATGTCTCCAAGCATCCCCATATTGCAGTTCACGTTCAGGTTAGATACAGTGTTTACGATAGCCTGGACTCTTTCAGGTTTGCATTCTGGTAAATAGGATAGAATTTCTGCAAAACTCGGTCTGTCGAGAGGATCGTGCTGCCAGCATTTCATCATCAGGGAGTAATATTCTTTGGGGCAGCATTCTGGTTGCTCTAAACGCTGAAGGTAAAAGAAATATACAAAAAATAGTAAAAATCATAATCAAATAAACATCGTTTATATATATATATATATATATATATATATATACATTAAGTAAGTATTGATGATGAAATCAACTATAAATAGTATAACAAAGTAGTTGGTATTGGTATTTTGCCTTGAGAGAAGTTACGTGAACTTCCTGATATGTTTAGATAATCGACTTAATCAATAAAAATAAATTAATTTATAAGTTATTAAAAGTATTCCGAGTGGATTTATTACACATTATTGAAAACGAACGAACACGCTAACTCAGAGTATTTTTTAAAGGCAAATTTTCAAAAATCAATAATTTTTATAATTGAACCAGTTTCCGTAGGACTTTAATGGTTTAGTATGTTCATTAAGACCAAGTACTCTATCGTTATACCAAGTAAATCGTCTGATTTTAATTTTAACAAACGCCAAAAAAACTATTCATTTTCTCAAATTTTAATGAATTTTTAAAATTAAACGACTTGTCGTAAGGCCGTAATATTTCAGTAAGTTCCATAAGACCATGATATATATCGCCAAAAAAAGTTCCATAAAAATCGGCTAAATTTTTTTTTCAATAGATAATTACAAGAAAACGGTTCGGTAGATTTTTACCTAAAACTAATCAGTATTATTCCCAACTAATATCTTTCGAACAGTTTTTGATTTTTGAAAATCGGTTCGGTAGTATGAGCTTAAATGTGGACGAAAAGTTTAACACTTTTTTTTCAAATTACAAAGAAACGGGTTGGCAGGTCGTCGCCCAAAACTGACAAACCATAGTCCTCATCGAAACACATCGAATGGCTTTTAAATTTCTGAAATCGGTTCAGGCGTTTTTGAGAAAACGTCGATCAAAGGTCTAATTTTGACAAATGTCAAAAAAACGATACCAATTTTTGCAAACTTTGACGAACTTTTAAAGCTAAACCATTTGTCGTAGGGTCGTAATATTTTAGTATGATCTAGAAGACTATGGTATCTACCGTCAAAAAAATAATCATAAAAATCGTCGATTTTTTTTTTTTTTAAACTTTATTACAAGAAAACGGCCCGGCCGATCTCAACCAAAAACTAATCAGCACAATTACCAACCAATATCTTTCAAACGGTTTTTGAATTTTCAAAATCGATTCAGAATTGCGGGCTAAAACGTGGACGAAAAAATTTTCACTTTTCTGCGATTTACAAAGAAACGGCCCGGCCGATTGTCGCACAAAACTCAAAAACCCTAGTCCTCATCGAGATACATCGAATAGCTTTTAAATTTTTGAAATCGGTCTAGCCGTTTTTGAGAAAACTTTGATTTACGGTAAAAATGTATTTTTGAGTCCTCTTGGAAGAAATCTGTGAGCTATATATTTAAAATAAATAAATAAATAAAAAATCCGTTCACACGCACACATACTTTTTCCAAATTTGGTCTCATTCGATTCAGAATGGTTTGAAACGTCGAGAAAACATAAAATTACCGAGTCGGATTTTTTTATGAAAACATAAACTTCTCCTTCGGGAAGTTAATTAAACAACTTGTCGTAAGGCCGTAATGTTTCAGTAAGTTCTATAAGACCATAAAATTCACACTAAAATTAATTAAAATTAAAAACATAAAATTAGCAAATCGATTTTTTTTATAAAAACATAAACTTCTCCTTCGGGAAGTTAAAAATATTTTTAAATGCAATATTTAAATATTAATAATGAATTCCACTATAGCAAATAAATATATATTTATAAGACTATTATTATATTGATTATTACCTGATAATTTGGTTCATCGATGGCTTGTAATATCTGATGTCCAGTGAGTGCTGCCCACGGTTGAAATCCATAAGAGAACATTTCCCAGAGTGTAACCGCATAAGCCCAGACATCGGAGGCTGATGTAAACCTTAAATAACTTATACACTCTGGAGCACACCTTGGAAAAAATATTAATATTTGTTTTGATTACTAACCAAAGAAAAATCACAATAAATAAATAATTGGAATAGAAAGTTAACTAACATTTTGAAGATAAAAATTATACAATTTTATAGTTAGACTTTAGAATAAATTAAATAGTTAATCTTAGAATGTTTTTATCAGAAAATAAATGTGTAATTATGTTTGTATTGAATCAGGAATTAAAATATCATATCAGTATTGCAGGAATTCATTAAGATTTGATAACTATTGCAAAGTAAATGAGAAAAACCACACTGGGTGTTTGTAAAGAGATAAAAACCGATTAAGCTAATCCTCTAACATTTTGCTAACATTACTTGTTTTTATAGTCAAATGATAAGCATTAAAAAGTATATTTAAAAAAATAATTAAAATAATTAAGACAACCTTCAGCAAAAAGTCTCTTAAAATTGCATCTTTCTCGGTATAAATTATTTGGATTACAATTGAAAGACTGAAAAGTTTTACAATCTCACCATGCTATTGGTAATTTTAAATTAACATTAAAATTAGTTTGATAATAGTCTTTTCCAACTCCTAAGGCTCGACTCAAGCCAAAATCAGAAATCTTGACTTTGTATTTTGAAAACACCAAAATATTTCTGGCTGCAAGATCCCTGCAAAATAAATATCACATATAACCAAGTTAACCTTTTTATTTCTTCTCAAATATCTTTCATTATTTTATCTTATTCTATGTAAATGAATAATATTGTTACATTCTGCATTATGTAATTTTGTGTTAAGTTCACTATTAATTTTACTATATATTGTAATTTTGTATATATATATATTAATTGTTATCCATAAGTAAAATAATTGTTTTTTTTAAGTCCTCTTGGAAGAAATCTGTGGTATATATATTTAAAAATAAATAAAATTAAAATAAACTAGTGGGGCGCATGGCATCGTGCCTTAAGACAAATTGCTGGAACTTCCCGTACCAAAAATTATTATTTTTTTAAAAACGATTAACATTTTTGAAAAAAATTTACTCTGAAAAATTATATTTTTGAGAAACTATGAATTTTTGACAAAAATTTACTTTTTTTGAAAAAAAAAACTTTTAGAAAAAAAGTGTATTTTGAAATATTTTGGAAATTCTAAACTTTTTTTCAAAGCAATCGTACTGCTTTAACTGCATAGAGACGAAATATCGAAGCGTATAAGCGCCGCGCCGCCGTCTAACGAATAAGCATTGGTCCAAGTCGAGTCGAGTAATTATATTATGAAAACCAAAATTATATTAAAAAACTGTTTTATATTAAATAACAAAACACTTTAAGGGGCGTCCATTGATTTCCTGAGGTTTTTAGGTGGAGGGGCGGTTTGTGAAAAATCACAAAATATCACGTGGGGGAGGAAAGGGTATAGTAAGATATCACGTTTATTTATTTTTTACCTGAATTAAAAAAAAAATCCAAACATTTAAAAAAAAACAAAATTTTACAATTTTTTCTCGTAAGTAAAAATACACATGATGTTTGGTGAGGTATCCAAAAATCCTTAAAAAGTCGATCACGTGATTAATGAACGCCCCCGTATGAAACAATTAAATAATATATACTCAAAAATTATATTCAGGTATCGTAAACTAAACAACAATGATCAAAAACAAAAAAATATAATGAAAAAAATTGACAATGTAGCAGTATATTTTAAAATATACAATTGTGAAAACGACGTCGCCCGATTTAAAGCGATACACATCGTTTGTCCTCTACTTTAAAATAGCATCGTTCAAAAATACCACACTTTCTTTGTTAACTGAACTTCCTGTAGGGTAAATTATGTTAATTGCAGAAAAATCGATAATGAAAACTTTTGCATATCTTTACATTTCAGGACCTTCTGAACGTTTTGATTCAAAAAACATTTTATTTGTATTGACGAAATGAAAAATTGGTGAAATTTTTGGGAAGGCAGGTCTAACGGTTTCGGAGATAAAATAAAAAGATTTTAATAAAAATAACACATTTCGTTTACTTTTCTATGGGTTTCGTACCAAGTTTTATCCGTTATAGTGCGACGCGGCGCCCACGCGCTTCGATATTTCGTTTTTACGTTCAAAATATAAAAAAATCAAAGGTCAATTTAGTTCAAAAATTTTAAAAATCTCGAAAATCGATTTTTTTCAGTGTTCTAAAAGAAAATTGAATCTTTTTTAAACATTTTAATTTTGGTTCGGGAAGTTCCAGCAATTTGCCTTAATATAGATGTCATATACTACTAGTTAAAATTAAATTTTTCTTGTTATTTACTATTTTTATTGCTTACACCTTTGCCAACCTTTAGGCAAATTGCTAGAACTTCCCAAAACAAAAATTAATTTTTTAAAACAGATTAAATTTGTTTTATTGTAAAAATTAGATTTTTGAGAAAGTTTAATTTTTTTTAAAAGAATGACTTTTTTGGAGAAAAAACTTTTAGAAAAAAATGTTTCTTTGTCGAAATTTTTGGAAACTTTGAACTTTTTTTAAAGCAAAGTCGGTGAATCTAATTTAGAATTAGCAATACATCTTATAAAACAGTTTAATAACATAGACTCAACAAATATATTAAGGTCTCTTAAACTAAACAACAGTGCTCACAACCAAAACAAATAACAACGAAAGAAAATACTTTTGCTATGGAATTTCAAACATTGCCGTTTATTAACCGATATAAACGTCGTATGAATCAAGGTTTAGCTGGTTATACAACTTTTGCCCTCTACTTTCAAATATTGTTGTTAAAAAAATCAAAAACTTGTATTTGAAAATTAAAATATTAAATCATAATACCTGTGTATAAGTCTTTTGTTCTCTAAATAATTCATCCCAAGACAAATCTGCGATGCAAATTCACACAAAGTAGATATTGTAAAACTAGACCTCAATGCTGGTTCCTTCAAACATTCCAAAAGTGACCGAAGTGGTGCCAACTCGGTAACCTTGTATTAAAAAACCAATTGTCAATATTCACCAATAATTATTAATATAATTTCAATTATCTCACCAGCATTAAGGCGTCTGTATCCAAAACAACACCATACAGACGTACAATGTGAGCATTTTCGACCGAGTGCATAATTGCTGCCTCTTTTAAAAATTCCATAGGATGTGATTGCATACGTTCCCTTGATAGACATTTTATAGCTACTTGAATCTGAAATAGATAAATATATTTTATTTATTTATTTATTTTTTATTTATTTATTCATAAGCAAGCCGTAATCAATAATAATAAATATTATTTCAGGCTCTTGTCAAGCTTATTCATAGTTAATATTAAAAGGATAGTAATTTTATAATAATCATAGTAGCTGCACAAATTTCGCTTCTGAAAAAAAGAGCTGAAAAAAAAAGCATTCGAACATTAAATACAACGTTCATCATCAAGTTCATCATATTGAAGTCTATTTGACCACCAGTCAAGCTCAAAATTCTTGCACAAGTTGAAAGTTATACTCATTAAAAACCGTAAAAAATTTAAATTAATAAAATAGCAATAAAAAAAAAAAAATATATATGGTTGTACAGGCGATCAAATGGTCAGACTACATAGATAAAGGATAAGGATTATGCAAGAAAATAGTTATTGAAATCAAATTGAGAAAATTCAGTAATGTCATAAAAAGCTAAGTCTTTAAAAAGTTTAACTAGGGAAGCATGAAATTTTTTGCTGTCTAGGTTTCGGATATTGAGTGGAAGTTTATTCATAAGCTGAATACCTAGACCGTCGATCGAATTGAAAGACCTGGCTAATTTATATGTGCGCGCCTTAATAAGTTTGTGTCTAGTGTTGTAGTTTGAGGAGGACGAAGCCATATCAAAAAGTTTCGAATTGTTTTTGATGAAAGTTAATGTTACCAGCAGAAAAATGCATGGGACAGTTAGAATATTGTATTTTTTAAATATGGGTCTGCAGGAGGCTTTACTAGGCAAGGAAAAAATTATTCGAATAGCTCTTTTCTGAAGCTTAAATATTTTAATTAGTTCGGATGAAAAACCCCAGAATTGAATGCCGTATGAAACGTGAGAATAAAAGTTGCTATAATAAACTGAAAGTAAGCAATTTAAACCAAGTTTGGGTTTTAGGGTGCGCAACATGAAACATGTTCTAGATAAAGTTGGTGATAGTGAGATAGAGATATGATCAGACCACTTTAAATTATTATTAATATGGATACCAAGAAATTTTGATACTTGCGAAAAATTATATGCTGAATTATTGATAGTTAAAGAAGTAATATTATTGGATAAACGATTTTTTGTACAAAAAGATATGATTTGGGTCTTATCATTATTGAGGACTAGATTATTTTCACAAAACCATTTCGTTATTTCTGACATAACCACGCTTAATTTATGTTGTAATTCATTAAGAGATTTGGCCTTGATGATAACGCTGGTATCATCCGCAAAAAGAATAAAATCACAAAGATTTGTACAATGAGGTAAATCATTAATATATATGAGAAATAAGAGAGGCCCTAAAATTGATCCTTGGGGCACTCCCAATGTACTTGTCAATTTATCCGAAATTATTTGCTCGTGATCGTTATTTAAGTAAACGCTTTGTGTTCGATTAGACAGGTAAGATTTAAATAGTTTGAGCGAACGTCCGCGAATACCACAATTTTCTAATTTGTCAAGAAGTCTTTGATGAGAAATACTATCGAAAGCTTTGGACAGATCGCAAAATATCGCAGTACAATATGTGGCTTCTTCGAAGGAGTCAATGATGTTATGAACTAAATTATAAATTGAGTGGGAAGTGGAATGGTTCTTTCGGAAACCATGCTGATTCTTGAACAAAATATTATATTTATTGAGAAAAGACGTTAATCTAGTATGCAAGATTTTTTCAATTATTTTATCGAAAGAGTTTAAGAGGGAAATGGGACGGTAATTATTTATATCGTCTTTATTATTTTTCTTATGAAGTGGAAAAATCTTTGAATGCTTGAGGTGCGATGGAAATATTCCTTCATCGAAGCATTTATTTAAACATAACATAAATTTATCTATGAAAAAGGGATAGAATTCTTTAAGAATAAGACTAGGTATCTGATCCGGACCCGCTGAACTAGTAACTTTTATCGATAGAAAGGTTTGCTTTAGTTCTTCTAAATTTACAGGATAAAGAACGAATGTAGAATTATTTCGCGCGGATAAAGATTTAGTCGAATTAGTGGTGGTCGAGTTGATTGCGCTTGTTAATTTAGACGCTTCGGTGACAAAAAAGTGATTAAATTTATTAGATATGACTACCTTATCAATAATCTTGTCGCCGTTAATTGTAAGACAATCAATCTGTGAAGATTTAGTTTTCGTGTTGATTTCCGAGTTAATTAAGGACCAAATTGTTTTCTGTTTATTAGCTGAATTAAAAATCAAGTTTTCGTTATATTTGATCTTCGCTAAATTGATTAGATCATTTAAAGTTGCCCTATATTTCAAAAAATAAATTATAAAAGCCATGTTATCATTATGTACCGATAATCTCTCAAGAAATGCTAATCTTTTAAGTGAAATTCTCAACCCTTTAGTTAGCCAAGGAGTTGAAGTATTATTTTTTGGGCAAACGGTTTTCTTAATGAGAGGAAAAGCTTGATTAAAGTTGAATAAAATGTAGAAATAAAGTTGTCGAACATTGTATTTGAGTCTTTCGACTTGTTAAGCAAGGTCCATGATTCCTTTTCCAAAAGACATTTGAAAATCAATTTATTTGATTCATCAAAATAACGTTTGTGTAAGATAAAGGTAGATTTAGAAGTTGAAAAATTACAAAAATTTAATATTATGCCTCGATGGTCTGAAAGAGTGGTATTTATAACACGCGAATCAAAGTCTTTTAAATTGGTGAAGAAATTATCAATGCAAGAAGAAGATTGATGCGAAAACCGAGTAGGTTCATGTATAGTACGCGTTAAACCAAAAGACTGCATATTCAAATTGAATTCAATGGATGGCTTCGATTGCTTATCAAAGTGTATATTAAAATCGCCGCAAACAATGATTTTGGAATATTTATCAAAAAGGTTATGAATCAATTCGTACATCAGCGAGATGAACATATCAACATTCTGGTCAGGTGATCGATAAACGCATATAAGACACACGACGTCTACATATAAATATACATATATATATATATATATATATATATATATATATATATATATATATATATATATAACAATATTTTCACTATCAATTACTTTTCTCCATTATTTTTCCAAACTCCCTGCTGCACCACACCAAATTCACCAATGCCGAGTTGCTTATGAACATTAATACTTTCTGCAGGAATTATATGCTTAGATCCTGGTGTACTCGAATTGCTATTATTCGATATTGTTGAACTTCTCGATATTGAGTTGGATCTCTCCTCACAAACCGTTGATAACTGTCCAGGCTAAAAATGAATACAAGATAAAAACAATGCTGAACTTGACTTTGTTTCATTTATCTTACATCGTCTTTTTTGTTAGGTGCGTGCAGAAGTCTTTTAATTTTACTGAGATATCCATTGGGGTAGTGCCTGTCGTAGAATTTTCTGAGTCGTCTGATCTCTGGTCTGGAGCACCCGAGAAGTCTTAAGTCTTCATCTGTTGCATATTTTAGTTGGGATACGTTTTGGACTTTTAGCTCGGATCTGGAAATATAATAGATAAAAAAATAATATAATTGATAAATATATGTATAATAATTAGTTATATATAATTTTGTGTACATATATACAATTGGAAACCAATAATTAGAATTTAAATGATTAAATAGTTATCACTTCTTTATTTAGACGTTTCGACACTCGATGTGTGCCATCATTTACCAAATCTAAATTACAAAATTTGTTTTAAACCATTCATACAATTATTAAAAAATATTTGATATTCATTAAATAAAATATACATATGAAACCGAGCAAATCCAAACACAAAATGAAAAACAATATTATTTTTAAAAACAAAAATTAATTAAATTAATTAATTTATGTTTCTTGTTTTTAATTAAAAAATTAATTAAAACAAAATACTATTAATAGAAACATAAATTACTATTAACTTCCCGTAGTATAAGTTATTGTAATGGGCCGAAAATCGAAATTGAAATTTTTGCAATTCTCGACGTTTTGAAGGTTTCTGAACATTTTGGCATACTTCAGAAAAAATGATGTGTGGTGGTGTGTATGTATACAATTTTCCAGTCACGTTTTCGGGCGCACGGATCAACCGATTTGAATGGTTAAAAAAACATTCGATTCCTATTGATAGGGAGATTTGCTGATTAGTTTTTGGCGAAGGCAGGTTTAGCCGTTTCGGAGATACGGAGCAAAAAATGCTTAACAAACTAAACAAAATAATCGATTTCAAAAAAAAAAAATTTTGTATATCGAAAATAATTCAGATTTTATTTTTAATACTGACTAATATACTTTAAACAAATAATTTCAACTTTGCAATTTAATTTATATAATTCTTATAAATATTAGACAATGTTACAATATCTATTTATAATAATCTATTTGAGAACATTCAAAATTCCTCGAACATTTCGTTACGGTACGGAATGTCCAGCAATTTGCCTTAAGGCATGATGCTATACACCCTACTATTTTATATATGTATTTATCTAGTGATTTAGTTATATATTTATCTATGTATTCAACTAGTTATTTTTATCTATTCATCTATTTATCTATCTATATAGATATACACAAATAAATCATAATGAAAAATTAAACAAATAAATAGAAAATACATAGATAGATATATATCTATCTATGTATTTTCTACTTATTTGTTTAATTTTTCATTATGATTTATTTGTGTATACTTTCTATTGGTTCATATTTTTTGTATTTAATTCTGTTTTTCTGCTGCTGGAAATTTCATTTAAATGGTCTTAAAATTTTAATTATAATACACCGATGATGAGACAAACCTAGTCTCGAAACGTTATATAATATATATAATATTATTTAATAAAATAGTTTAGACATAGTGAAACATGATGATTTGAAAATGCGCGCCATTGTTAAATGCGAAAGCGATATGATAAGTGTCTCATCTTTCTGTAAGTATACTCTATGCTCCAAATGTCAAATAATAAATTTATTTTAAGTTGAAATCGGTTATGGACTATGGTATTGAAAAGGATTGTTAATTGTTGATTAACTAGGTTATTATTTAGCCCACGCTTATTTTGGAATTATTTCAATTATTTCGTAAGTGAGTATAAGCTGTTAACATATTTAAAAATGTCAGAAGAAACACTCATGTCAATGAATGATCCGGCAATTAAAGTTGAACCACCAGAATATTCAGAAGAAAACATTAAACACGAAATTCAGGATGATATTGATGTTTCTGATGATGTGGTTAAATCTGAATCGTGTTCTGAGGATGATGAAACCTGTTTAGAAAATTTCATGAACTCTGAAGTGACTTTCGAAGTAGAAGTCAAACAGGAGTTAGTCGAACCAGCAGCTTATGAATGTGACTTTGTGATCAATCATTTACAGAATCTGATCAATTAAAAGAGCATATGGTCGATCA